TAAGGGAGCCGAAACATGAATATGTAATCCAGAACGCCAACACGTAAAACGGAAAATAAGTAAAAAGGATATCTGCATTCAAAAACTAACCACCCCTGTTATGTTCGCCTTCGTGATGCAGTAGTTGGTGGCTGAGTGTTGAAAAGCTGGAAATACAAAGAATATTATAAACTACAGATATTCTGCCAATGCAAACTTTCACAGGCACCGATCATTACGTAGTAGCAAATAATAAATTATCACTAATAACAGCAAACTAAACGAAAAATTACAGCCACTACCAAAGATGTCAAGATTATGATCACAAAATGCACCCTCCTTATCTGCGCAACAATTTCTTTAATAACAAACAATAAAATACATTAACATTCGTCTGGACTATCATCGTCTGTACCAATCTCTTCCCACAGTTTGAGCACAGTTCTTTCTGCAAAAAGACGACGTTCCTCCCAGGGAAGGCTTTCTGCATGCTGTTGTATCTCTTGGAAATTCTGCAAAATATAGTCAAGAGCAGACGATGTATCTTCGTCACGTGCACCGTCGCCTTCACTATGGCCGTCTGTAGTGACATCAGGATTTACAGGACAGGACGAATGCGAGTCGTTAGAGAGCACCGATGCCGTATCGTTTGAGAACTTTTTCGAGTCAGCTTGTTCACAGAAAACATTCTAAACTTTTGTGAAGTGAAAGGCAAATCAACCAAGACTAAAGGCACAGATTGCAAATTTGCTACGAAAGACAAATTAAGCATTATTTACTCAACGATTAATACATCGAAAAATATGGAAGCGCTTGTACCTACCGAGACCGCTGCTCCATCTTGAAATTTGTCATTCTTCCACAAGTGGGCCTACAAATCAAATCTGTGGTAGATACAACAATTAAAATTTACTAAGTGAAATCTTTGAAAATTTAAGACACAGACAAAGGTATATATTGCATCCAGTTTTTATAATTGACAAGCAAACGTAAAATAAAGAAAAATTACCTGCAATATTTCAATTATTCGCCCTTTACCGATCTTCTCGTTGAATTCTTCGGCTTCGGCCACGTACTCAGGGCTCGGATCGGTCTCCACAAGATCAAAACCGTGCTCGAGACACCATCGCGACACATCTTCTCGTTCACAATCCCAAACTCTAACGCATGTCAATACCTTGATTTCCGGATTGAGGGAAAACATTCGCGGCCAGAAGTTAGCCCGTTCCAAAAATTTGAAATCATCGAACAACACAACAAGTGCCTCTATGGAGCTGATGTCGGTTTCTTGTGCTGTTTTAGCGTCTACAATGAGTACGGTGACGTCAGCTTCGTAATACTTTGTCTTGATGTGCCACTGGCAGCAATCAGAAGACAAGTTAGGTGAATTCTGAGGTCTGAAGATTTCCAAGACAGCTCGCTGTTCGTCACTGGGTGTTGAGTGAAAGCACTCGATAACCAATATCATAGGTTTATCCATTTCAAATTATACAAGAGTATCAATTAAATATAAATTTTTTCAACAGATACAAGTAAATTTATGAGAAAGCAAATATCAAATATTATC